ATAACCACGATACTTTTCTGCCCAAGGGCTATTTCCCAAGAAATGTCTGCCAGTAAAAACAAGTCAGCTACCCAAACCACCTGGGACTGCTGTAGAGAACATGCTGACAGTCCCAGGGGATTTTAATGGTTCTCACCTTTTCTTCTCCAACACACCCAAGAGATAGAACGTTCCTACTTGGAGCAATGGCCATTCCAGCGAGAGGTCAGTGTGTAGGGGTTATGTATGGCAGGGGCGAGCGTGCGGGGGGCTGGGTGGAGAGGGGCCTGGTGTGCCCTGGTGGTCTGGGCTCAAACGCAGCTGATGTTTACCAGCTTTACAACCTTGGGTGGCATGAGGATAAGGGTACGTTTGGAAACGCGCACGTGTGTGTGGGGTGTGTGTGCTTGTAGGTGGTTGTATATGTGTGTACGAGTGTTTGGACGGGTGCAGGTATGTTTGCACATGTGTATGCACACGGGGGCACGTGTTTATAGATGCATGTGGGTCAGCATGTATGGGTGTGGTGCACGCACGAGTGTAGAATGTGTATATATGTGCATGTGCGTGTGTGTGTGTGTGTACACTGCCCAGCACCAGCGAACGGCGGCTCTGCTCGGCCTACTCAGTCAGAGCGGGTGTGCTGTGGGGTTGGGGCTATGCAGAATGTCCCTGGTGCCAGGAGCACGGCCACTGCTCCCTGGCCGCAGTGTGGGTTTGGAGCCCTGGACGCAGAACAGAGGCCTCGGTCTGGGTGAAACTCACATTACCAGGTGCTCGGCGACCCAGGGGCTGACCACCACTCTGATGCCTCTTGACAGACAAGCACGCTGAGGCTCAGAGCAGGTGGTAACGTGTCCAAGGTTGCATGCGCAGAGAACTGGGACCGGGGTCTCGTCTGCCTGACTGTGGAGTCCGTGCTCCGGGTCACGGAACAGTAGTCTTCCTTGCGTGCTGTGTGACTTGATGTGGGCCACTCAGCCTCTCTGAACTCGTTTCTCTCGTGGGGCTGAGAAAGTGTCCTAGTCTGCTAGGGCCGCCGTAACAAATCCCACAGGCGGGGCTGCTTAAACACTGGTGTTTATTCTCTCGGGGTCCTGGAGGCTGCTGGGGCCGGGGTGCCGATGTGGCGGGCTCCTGGTCGGGGCTCAGTGACCGCCTCCAACACCCTGCTCCGTGAGGCCTCCGGTTTTCCTCAGTGCCCCAGGCCGCGTTGCATGCTTCTCCAAGGGTGGGAGCTGACCCCGGGCCCTGCTGGGGACAGGGGCATTGGTGTTAACATTTGGCTGTGCGATGCAGAGATGGGCCGAAAGCCACCTGCTCTCACGTCATCCTCAGGTTATAACTTATTCACGACAGCAGGATGTGTGCTGGACTCTTAGGGCATCCCTCCGCTGACAAAATGGCCTGGTAATTAATCGTTCTGTGGGCGTGGGGAAGGCATTTTACCAGCTACACTTCCGAGGGCCGGTGTCTCGGTCCAGCGCTCTCCTCCGGCTGTGTGCTCGGGCCGCAGGAGCGGTCTGGGCGGGAGAAGAGGGGGCAGGTCTAATTTTGAGTTTCTCTCTGCCGGGGCCTCAGGGAGAAGAGCTCCCCACCTCACCTTTCTAGGTGGGGTCTTCCTGGCACGGCAGACCCTTCATTCATGTGATGGGTCCACACTCACAGCCAGTGTGTGCGCTAACGTGGCGCCCAGACTCCTCTGGAGTGTTCGGGTTTTGGAGTGGGAAGGCACATTCCTTAATTCTCCGGGCTCTGGCAAACCTGCCCCTGTCTTGTGGGAATTCAGGGGGGGCGTCCCGTGTGTTGGAAATAATCCTCCCAGCTGGTCAGTGCAGGTGCGAGTCCCTGGGTGTCTCTAGGCCTCTGTCTTCCCATCTGAAGATGGGGTTCGCTTGGACAGTCTGCACCGAGGCCTCCTGCTCGGGGCACTGTCTTCGTCGGAGCACCATATGGAGCGTGTGTTTACTCACTTGGTCTGAGCTTCCCCATGAGGATGGGATACAGAATGTCCCAGCCGACCGCTGCTGACCGCTGAGTGAAAAGAACAGAAGGACCTCAAGTTTTGGGGAGACATGAAAACTAGAAAGGCATAAACAATGAGGTCCTCTTGACATTTATCCTGCGGTTCTGCCCAACTTTTCCAGCACTCGTGACCCATTCCAGACCCCAGGAAGGGGGCACCCTCCCGAGTTAAGGAACAGAGGCCGCGCTGTGGAGCTGGGGTAAACCAGCTCTGCGTCTCTCCGGCACGCCGAATCAGAGCCGCTGGGCGCACGGGGCAGAGCCACGTTCTAATCACTGGGTCTGTCTCAAGACGGCTGTGTGGAAGGGACCCCAGAGGCGTTCCAGACTGTGGCTCAGAGACAGCGGATGGGCTGGGTGGCGGCCAACCCCAGTGGCCCCGGGCGCCGAGCACCTGCTCCTCCTTCAGCGTGAAGTAACGCTCCTTCATCACCCTCAGAGTGGCCGGTAGTGTTTCCTCCGCTACGGGGTGTTTTTGGCACGTTTCCCTACAGGCCAACACTTAGCGGTGACGGCGGGGCCGTCTGGGGCAGGGCTACCGGCGGTGAGTGTGTGACGGGCTGTGCGCCGGGCTCGGCGGTTGACTGAAGCCGTTCTTGTTAGCTGTCCCTCTGGCTGTCCTGCCGGCTCACCAGGAGGGTTAAGGAGGCTGAGCCTGTTCCGGGGACCTGGTGGCAGGAAGAACGGGCGGGAGCGTGGAGCAGGTTCGCAGTGACTCAGGGTCCTCTGGCCGCGGAGGGGGGCAGGGCTGGCTCCTGCTGGTGGGGAAGGAGATGCGGGCAGGGGCGCAGATACCCAGTTTGCAGCGCTGCCCCCACGGACCCCTGGACCTACGTCGGTGCAGTCGGGGCTTTGCAGAGGCTGCCTCCCACGCAGGGTGCCACCTCCACACCCGCCATTCCTCGCTTGCTGCCGCTGACTCTGCCCCTCTGGGACGCCCCCCCAGGTCACCGTGACCATGTAGCCAGAGGTCTGTGCCTGTCCTCATCCGAGGCTTCTCTGCAGTGTTCAGCTGCTGACCCCGCTCCGGCCAGGGCCTCCTGCTTGTCCCTGTCCCACCTGTCTCACAGCACAGCTCCGATCCCACGGGCGCCCCCTCCCCCAACGCCCCACGGGGTCCCTGGGGCCTGCCCCTCCTGCGGGGCGACATCATCGTTACCACTCACCTGCTGGTCTGGGGCCCCTCGCAGACCCGGCCCTGCGGGACACGGGAACAGCCGCTTCCTGCTCCTCTCCCCTGCCCCGCGTGCCCAGGCTCTCCCTGCCATCACCTGTTCCTAAACCCCCACCCCCCGACACCCCTCCCGTGCACTTGCCTCCGGCTCTCGTCTGTTCCCTGGCGGGTGTCCTTGCCCCCTTCCAGCCCCTCTGTGTGTCACCCGATGCGCATGAAGCATGAATCCTGTCTTGTCACTCTCTTCTAACTCCCCCGCTGGAGGTTTGTGTGCCCCCCGGATGCCCTCCTCCACCCCCCCGGCCAGGGCTTCCTCACAGCGCCTCTCTGTTACAGCACACACCGGTCACAGGTATCTGATCGCTCCCCGTACCCCCCGCCGGTCTGGGTCTTGCCGCCTTGTGTCCCCGGCGCACGCACGGCTCGCCGCTGTCACGGCTGGGCCAGCCTGGCCTTGGCCTCCCGGGGCCCCTGCTACCATGGCACCAGGAAAGGGGCTCTGGGCCTCCGATCAGCAGGTCACAGCTCTGTTCTGGCCCTGCCATACACCGGGCACTTGACCTGGACCAGCGGCTCAGGTCCTCGGGGCCTTGAGTGTGCAGGGAATCACTTCTGTAGCCCAGTAAGAGAGTGGACGTGAGGGTGCTTTGTGAATCAGTCTGTGGGACTGTGTTACAGCGCTGTGTGTCCATGTCAGCCCGAGCTGACTTTGGTCTTCTGTCCTCTGACCTCTATCCTTAATTTAGGGAACGTTGCAAAGCTGAGAGTTCCCGGCTGGGAGGTCCTCAGGTTCAAGGCGTGAGTCGGTGTCAGAGCAGGACAAAGTCTTATCCGTATGCAGTGCGCCATCCTTCCTGTCATCTCTCTCCTGCAGAGTTGCTCGGCTGAATTTCATTTAGTTTCAGATTATTAAATTAAGTCTGATTGCATGTTTCTTTTACCAAGCGTTCTCTGTGTATTTGTCTGACGCTTGCTGGCTCGGTTTGCAGTCTGCGGCTGGCAAAGGAGGGATGCCAGGCGTGTAAGTGCACTCTGGGGGAGAACAGCCCCTCCGCCAGCGTCATCTGTGCTGTGGCTGGGTGCGGACCGCCGTTCTGGGTCTTAGTGCATTGGTCAGCGGGGACGGTCCTGTGGGTCGCGCGTGAAGACAGTCACCGGGCCGGCCTGCAGCGACGGGCAGCATGGAGGCGAGGGGGTAGCCCGGTGGTGACGCTCCGAGCTGCACCGGAGGGACTGACGGGTGGTGTGTCACCAGGCCCGGCTGGAGAACTAGTCTTCCTAGGAAGCGTGTGACGAAGCATTCCCTGGACCCTACTCTCCCTCCTCCTCCCTCCCCTCCCCTCCAGCTTCCCGGGAGAGGAGCGGCGCTCTGGCTCCGCGCCCACCTCCCCCGGCGGGCATCCCAGCTTCCCGGGAGAGGAGCCCACGTGCTGTTGACAGAGTGTGGCCTGCTTGACTTGGTCTAGAGCTGGGATGGAGGACAGACAGCCTCTCTCTACTGATGTAACTGCAGAGCAGCAGGGGCCTGGGCTGAGGGCGGGGTAAGGGACGTACCGGTGGTCTCCTCCGTTCTGCAGTGCGTGTGGCTTTTAGGGGAGGTGTGTTCTCCGCTGGGAAATCTATCAACAAGGGACCTGTGAAGAGCCTTCTGGGGTCAAGCACATATGTGACCTGGGAGAGAGTAAAGATGAGTGTTACACCCTTCCCGTCTCCTCCGGTGCGTGTGCGAGCGTGTGCGAGCGTGTGCGCGTGTGTGATGTTAAACAGGAGGTATACTGAATCACCTGTGCACCAACCAACTTTGATCTTGTTGTTTTTTCAGGAGACATGGGTGACAAAGGACAGAAGGGCAGTGTGGGTCGCCATGGAAAAATTGGTCCCATTGGTTCTAAAGGTATTTGTGACGTACGTCTTGCCCCATTCCCTTCCAGGCTCCCGGTGCGGGCGCTCGAGAGTGATTGCAGATTGGCCAGTCCTGCCTGGTGGCTGTGCTTATTTCTGTGTGCTTGACACATGGTAAAAGTGGTCCCAGGGTCTGCATTTGGGATCAGTCAGAGTTACCTCCTGGCTGTGTGCCCACCAGGGTGGGGCAAGCGCTCCCTGTACTGCAGGATTCACAGGGCACCCCAGTGGAGAACTGGGGACTGGTTACTTAGGCAAGACCTTTCACTTCCATAATCGGCTTAATGAAACACTGAGCCCCATTTGAGTAACAGGAGGACCGTTCTCCAGAAACACTGTCTGTCCCCCTCCAGCTTCGGTGACTTTTTGAAACTGTGGGTGGCTCTCCATAAGAACGGGACCCGGGAAGTTAACAGCCCGGGTGAGAGCAGCCCTCTAGTGACAAGACGCCTGCCCTTGCCTGGGTCCGTCTCGCGAGCTCGTCTGACCGCGTAACCCTGCAGGGGTGGGCGGGCCAGGAGACTGAGGCCCAGGCAGATGAGGATGGACGGCTCTGAGCCACGCAGCCAGCAAACACTCTTGGAGCCCCTGGTGTGTCCTGCCCCTGTGCTGAGCCCCTGGGCCCTGAGCTTTCAATGAGCGATCCCGTGGAGGTCTCCTCCTCCACCCCTTGGTGCTAATGAGGAGGCCAAGGCTGGGGAGGGCCGGTGGTTGGCAACACTGCCGAGCCTGTGTGGCAGGGAGGGGGCTCGGGGTGGTGGTCTGCCCAAGGCTGGTGCTGGCGTTCTTCTGCCTCAGTAACCTGCCAGCGTGTTTGAGCCGTGAGCGGGTTTGGGTGGTTTGTTCTGATGGGTGGCCACGCACCTCCCCCTGGCCGCAGCGCATCCCTGGCAGGAAGGGGTCCTCGGCAGGAGCGTGATGGACACTGGCCAGCTCAGCATCTCTCCTGCAAACCCGTGGGAAGCACCTGCTGGGATGGCCCTCACTCGAGAGCACGTGCATATGCGTGGTATGAAGAGGGGCCGCTGTGCTACACAAAAGCTTTGAGAAAGTGTGGGAAAATAGTCACAACATGAAGCTTGCCATTTTAACTATTTTCAAGTGTACAAGTTAGTGGCATTAAGGACGTTTGCAGCATTGAGCAGCCAACTCATTTCCAAACCATTTTCATTCCCCCGAGAGGAAGTCTGTCCTGGTGAGGCGGGGTCTCCTGGTCCCTCCCTCAGCCGCGGTCACCCCTTGTCTAATTCCCGTCTCCACGAATCGGCATATTCTAGGTCATTCACGGATGTCTGACTTATTTCACTTGGCGGCACGTGTTCCAGGCTCATCTCCTTCCTTCTTAAGGCTGAATCGTGGCTACACCACATTTTATTCATTCGCGCATCTGTTGGTAGAGATTTGGGTTGTTGCCCCTTTTAGCTGTTGTGGAGAGTGCAATGCATGTTGGCCTCCAGGTAGGGACATGTGTGCCTCTTGTGTGCTCCGTGTGCTCTGGGCAAGTGTCAGTGGCTCACCGAGGGCCAGTGTGTCAGCAAGCCCCTAATTTGGTTACTTTGCCTGACCTGTTTCCGGGGACCTGGTCAGGCTGAACTTCCAGTCAGTCCCAAGCCCCGAGGCCGATGAGGGAGTCACAGGGATGGTGTGGACGGACCGGCAGGCTCTGTCCCTCCCTGCGCGGATGGCAGGCAGTGGAATCCAGAGGGAGGAGCGCTACTCCTTCCCCATCCCACGCCGCTGGCTGGGATGCTCAGGTTGACTCAGGGGGGAGAAAGATTGAGCGGCAGGAATATTCATGTGCCTTTAATAGATTTGTTGTCTAAACTTAGAGCGGCCAGAGAGCATTGTTGGCACGACTGTGTCCAACCCCTCTGGTTTACCAGCTGGGAGGCCGGTGCAGCAGGGCGGCTGCGTGGCGTGTCCTGTCTACGGGGGGCCGCGTCTCAGGCCAGGCAGGAGCCCAGGTGTTGCGTTGGGGGGAGGCTGTCCCCAGGTCCACCCCAGTGCCAGCATCACCGTTTCCCTGCCGTCAGGAGGGCAAGAACTGGAGTCAGATTTAGCTGTTACTGGCCCAGGGGGTTAAGGGTTCATGACAGGGTATCTACAGACTGTTCTATGACACATCCGGGATTTTTCAGACCCGACTTAAAGAAGTGTCATCAGGTCATCTCTCAGATCTCGTGATAGGCATCTATTCCACATCACATCGATAGAGCCCGAAGAATTAATTATCTGTAGAACACAAGTCCCCGTGTTCACAGCAAAGAGGGGATCTGCAGGAAACCCTAGGACATTGCACAGGGAAGAAATAACATTGTGAGCCTTGGCAATTTTAACCTCTCCTGATGTGTCCCACCTCTGCTTGACCTTGCTTTGACCTTGCTCTCCCTTTTCAGGTGAGAAAGGAGATTCTGGTGACATAGGACCCCCTGGCCCTAATGGAGAACCAGGTATGGCATAGAGGGTGCAAGGGCTTTTAAAACGTGTTAAAAATTGCACTTTCTCCCGGTTTTATTGAGAGATAATTGACATACATGACTGGAAAGGTTTAAGGTGTACAGCACAATGGTTTGATTTACAGATGCTGTGAAACGATCACCGTCATAGGTTCAGCTAACACCCATCTTCTCCTATAGACACAACAAAAAGAAAAGAAAGAAGAGAAAAGGAAAAAAAAATTATCCTTGCAATGAGAACTCCAAGGACTTGCTCTCTTACCAGCTTCTCTGTGTGTTCTGCAGAGGGTTAGCTGCGTTCCTCACATTGTGCATCGCATCCCTGGTGGGCGTTTACCTCTGCACCTGCTGACCCCCTTCCTCCTGCTCCCTTCCCCTGCTACACATGGAAGTGAGATTGTGCGGAGTTTGCCCTTCTCTGCCTGACTCGCTTCACCTAGCAATAATGCCTTCAGGGTCCATCCATGTTGCCACAAATGACAGGGTTTCCTGGGGCTCCTGGGTGGCTCAGTGCATTAAGTGTCTGCCTTTGGCTCAGGGCATGATCTCAGGGTCCTGGGATCGAGCCCCGTGTCGGGCTCCTTGATCGGCGGGGAGCCTGCTTCTCCCTCTGCCTGCTGCTCCCCCTACTAGTGCTCTCTCTCTCTCTCTGGTTCTCTTGTGCTCTCTCTCTCAAATGAATAAATAAAATCTTAAGACAAATGACAGGTTTTCCTAATTGCTCACAGCTGAATAGTACTCCATTGTGTACACATGTCACAACTCCTCAATCCATTCCTCCATGGATGGACACGTAGGTTGTCGGCTGGTTTTTGTTCCTCTCTGTAACAGTCTTGAAGTGCTTGCGTTTCTTACGAAGCTTTTAACGTAGAAGAGCCAAGTGGGAGGCATCACACTCTGTGATTTCAAGTTATACCATAAATTGACAGGACTCGAACCAGTGCAACACTAGCATAAAGACGGTCCCACAGACCATGGGGGCAGAACCAAGAGCCCGGAAATAAACCCAGGCACATACGGTCAACTAACATTTAATAAGGGAGCCAAGAACACTCAATGGAGAAAAGACAACCTCTTCAATAAATGGCGCTGGGAAAACAGGACAGTCACACGGAAAGGCATGAAACTGGACCCCCATCTGACACTGCTTACAAAAATTAACTAGAAATGGACTAAAGACTTAAATGTAGGATGTAAGACCCATGAAACTCCTATAAGAAAGCAGGAATGAAGCTCCCTGATGTGGGTCTTGGTCATGTGTTTTTGGATATGACACCTAAAGCACAAACAATAGAAAGAAAAGTAAGCAGGTGGGACCACATCAAACTGAAAAAGCTTCTGCACAGCAGAGGAAACCACCAACAGAGTGAAAAAATATTGGCAAACCATTCATTTGATAAGAGATGGATCCAAAACCTGTAAGGAGCTCATACAACTCAATAGCAAAACAAACAACCTAATTAAAAAATAAGCAAAGTACCTGAATAGACATTTTTCTAAGGAAGACATATGAAAGGTCAACAGGTACACAAAAGGACACTCAACATCTCTAGTCATCAGGGAAATGCAAATCAAAACCACAATGAGATGTCACCTCACACCTGTCAGAATGGCTGTTACTGAAAGACAAGAGCTAACAGGTGTTGGCGGGGATGCGGAGAAAGGGGACCCTCCTACACTGTTGGTGGGAATGCAAGCTGGTGCAACCACTCTGGAAAACAGTATGGAGGGTCCTCAAAAAGTTGAAAATAGAGCTACCATACGATCCAGCGATCCCACTTCTGGGAATATATCCAAAGGAAACAAACACTAACTCAAAGAGATACCTGCACCCCCGTGTTCATAGCAGCACTATTTAGAATAATTAAGACATGGGGAAAATTGCACTTGAGAAAAAAGTGTAAATCAGGAAATAAAACCGCAGGGGTCTGGAAAACAGTGTGTACGGCTGGCATCTTCTTTCCTTGTGTGTCACACCCTCTTGTAGACTATGTCAATATTCCATTTCCTTCTACCTGAGTATTCTCACGTCCTTCTTGGCACTGTAGTGCTCGCCGACTTCAAAGACTGGCTCAGACAGACGTGTCCCCAAGCACGCATTCCTCATTTCTGAGTACCCCCCTTCCTCTGACCACCAGACTTCTCGGGAAGCACGTCTGCACCTTCTTGTTCTGGAGCTCCTGTAGCTGGCTCCCTGCCGCCTGACGCCCGAGAAGGTCACCCGGGACCCAGCCGCTCAGTGGCGTGGCCGGCTTCCTGGTGCTGGGGACAGTGACCTCTCGGCCCACGGTCCCGCGGCCGTGACCCCCTGTCCGTGGAGCTCGTCTGCTGCCTTTCGTCCTCCGCGTGGCTCCCGCAGCTCCATGTCCACCTCGGTGCCCCGTAGTCCGGCTCCACCCGTCCCCTTGCCTGGCGCATGCCCCCCATGTCCTGCTGCCCACGTTGGTCCCACCACCCCTTGGTTCCTGTGGCCTTTCCCACGGGGGTGTTGTCCTCTGTCCCACACTATTGTCCCACACTGTTCCACGCTGTCCCTGCTGGCCTTCACGGTCCCATGAGTCTGCGCAGCTGTCCCGTGTCCTGTCCCGGCGCCAGCACCTCGTTCAGGCCCTCGTGACCTCTCCGTGAGCTTGCCGTCAGGCCCCGGGGGCGTGGGTGGGGGGATCCTGGAGCTGAACGGGCTTCCCAGTGGTTGGGTCCTGACCGTCCCCTCCAGACCGCCGTGTGTGTGGGCACGTTCCGGCATCCACTATGCTGAATCAGCCTGTCTTTCTCTGTCTCACGCATACTGTGTCTCCATTTGCTGACATTCATCCTGAGTGTGACATTCAGAGAGAAGCCCTCGAGAGAGCTCGGAGCTTGGAAACTGGGGAAGAAAGACATGTCTGAGTCAAAAGCCCTTGTCTGAAGGGCTCTGTCAGTACTGTGGAGAGGAGGAATGCGGTCACGGGACGGATGGCAGTGCCTCCCACCGTCACCTTGGGCACGGCCGGTCCTGCAGGGAGGAGGACCTGGTGGTGTGTGGGGCCGGCCGGGAGGCCAGGGGACAGTTTGAAAGGATACGGAGGAACAAGCCCACCACTTGTCAGTGCAGAGAGCAATCCAGAAAGCCTGGACAGCCTCAGGGGGCATGGACGCAACACTGGTCTCAGATGAACTCCACTGCAGAACCACCCCCGGCCCCAAGTGTCGCTGGGGCCGCCGAGTGTGGACTGGATCTGCGCGTGGAAGTGAGGGTGGTCTGGGCTCTGGGTGGTGGAGGAGGGCTCAGATTCTGGAAGATGGGCCCAGTCTTCTACAGGCGAGGTTCAGTCTGGAAGCGCGGCTGGAGCTCAGCACCATGGCGTTTTGCAGGGGGAGAGGTAGGTCCTGCACGCAGGCTCTCGGTAGGGCCTGTGCAGGGCAGACGTGCTCCGGTCCTGGGGCCTCAGGTGATGGGCTGGCAGTGGCCGGGTCCTCCTGCTGCGGTGGGGACGGGGAGGGGGGTGTCGACAAGTGGAGCTCCCCACGGGAGGCAGCTCGGGGTCCCAGAAGGGCCAGGACCCCTGACCTGAGGTGAATGGCTAGCAGCGCTGTGAGAGGGACCCTCATGCTGCGGGCCTCCCACTGTCCTCAGATGTTCTGGCTTCTCCGCGTCCGCACGTCACGGCCCCGAGCCCCGTCGTCCTCCGAGATGCTGCCACGACTCCGCCCTCCACCCCGTCTCCCCTGCACCTCCCCTCTTCCTTCCCACCCACCCAGAGCCCTATTTGAAAACGGGTCGGTCCTGGGGCTGCCCTGTTGACGTCCCTCCGCTGCTTCTCCTTCCCTTCGGGATGAAGCCCGGAATCCGTGTCCCAGCCTTGAAGGCCCGCGGGGTCCACTTGCCGGCTAAGCTTTCTGTCTGGGTGGGGGGCTGCTTTCTGGAGTGCCGTCCCCAGGGGCATCTTCTGACGCGGGGGCCCCGTCTCCACAGGCATCCCGTGTGAGTGCAGCCAGCTGAGGAAGGCCATCGGCGAGATGGACAACCAGGTCACCCAGCTGACGACGGAGCTAAAATTCATAAAGAATGGTACGTTCTCAGGGTTTCCCTGTTCCCCCCCCCCGAGACAGAGGGGCTCGGCCGGCGTGTGGCGCCCGCTGTCGGGGGCCTCGCGTGGGTGCCGCGCCCCGAGCGTGATTACAGAAACGCGAGTGCTCACTTCCCAGCACTGCCCCCCCCGCAGCTGTCGCCGGCGTGCGCGAGACGGACAGTAAGATCTACCTGCTGGTGAAGGAGGAGAAGAGGTACGTGGACGCGCAGCTGTCCTGCCAGGGCCGCGGGGGCACGCTGGGCATGCCCAAGGACGAGGCCGCCAACGGCCTGATGGCCGCCTACATCGCGCAGGCCGGCCTGGCCCGCGTCTTCATCGGCATCAACGACCTGGAGAGGGAGGGCACGTTCGTGTACTCGGACCGCTCCCCCATGCAGACCTTCAACAAGTGGCGCAGCGGCGAGCCCAACAACGCCTATGACGAGGAGGACTGCGTGGAGATGGTGGCCTCGGGCGGCTGGAACGACGTGGCCTGCCACGTCACCATGCACTTCCTGTGCGAGTTCGACAAGGAGCACGTGTGAGCGGGCGGCCTCCGGGGTGACCGGCCCGCCGTGCCCCGGGCCGTCCCTGCCGCCTGTGTGGGCCGCGTTTCCGGGCCGCGGACAGCGGCGGCGGGCGCTCGGGAGGAGAGACAGCGTTTCCGGGCGTGACTGCTGAGGAAGCCAAGTTTTAGCACTTGTTCGGTAGCCACATGCTCATTAGGGAATTCTTAGTCAGAGTCTCACTTGCCTTTGTCCAAACTATAGAATAAAAGCTTGAAATGTGACTGTAGTCGAGTACAAACAATGGTAGCGGGGGCTTCAGTGACTATCTCCCTTTTAATTTCTGCGTGAGAAGAACCCACGTCACTTTGGCCAATGCTTCTGTAAATTACATTAAAATGCATGTTCCTTTTCACTGTTGTGTAAGTAGGCGCATTGTGCTTGGGGCAGGCGCAGATTGCCGGAGTGTCTTGTGACAACAACATTAAGGATCTCACGGTTCCCGTGGATCTGGACTTTCTTTGGGGTTCAGCCGGACCCCCTTCTGCACTAGTGACCACCAATGGTGGTTGTGGGCGGGGTCCGGCTCCGTGCTACAGGGGCCTCTCCACGGGGCAGCTCACAACACGGCGGCTGTGTCGGAGCCGAGAGCCACACCTGACCTGGGAAGTGGGGCACCGTCCTATCACAAAGGCGTTCTGTTCACGAGGGGTGACCCACCGGGTCCCGCGCACACTCAGGGAGGGGACGACGTGACAGGGTGTGGACACCGGGAGGCAAGTCTGGAAGCTGCCCCCATATCACCTGTGGTTCTTTTCCTTTCTGTGCATCAGATTCCCCAGTAAAAACCAAACTCCTTCTTGTTTCAAGGAATACAGCACATAGGCACATGCAAAAGCAATCCAGCTGGGGTTGTGGGGGCAGGAAGGGAGCTGTTGGGGGCAGTTCTTCAAGGGCTGCTCATGTTGTTCATGTCTTGTGAGTGAGGCCCTGGATGCTCGAGGTTCTGGACCATGTTTTTAAGGAAGTTGTGTAGCTGATTGCCGTGGACGACAATAGTGTCTCTCCCCAGGTTACCCCTCTGGACAAAAGGATAGGTCTGCTTAGAGCCTCCGAGAGCAATGAGCAGGCACAGTCACCGTCTGGCAGGGGAAGGTGATGATGCCTTCCAGGGGGAGAGGCAGCATGCTTCCCGCCTACTCCAGAGGGCTTGGGTTCCTTAAGTTCGAGGGTCTTATCCTGGAACCCACGTGCTGCACACACACACACAGGTGTGCCCTGGTCCTCTTCACGTGCCCTGCGGGGACTGGAGCTCAGGATGGGCAGGATGCCCTGCTAGAGCCCCCACTGCCGCCCATGGGGGCAGGAATCTGTGGGGCGGCCTGGCGCTCCCCAAGCACGGCCCAGGGGTCCGCCTCTCACCACACAGATGCCTCCCTTGCACCCAGGGGCAGACCTGGTCTGTGGGGGCTTGTGGCTGCGGTTGGGCAGCGCCCGGCAGGAAGGGCCTGGAGCCGAGCCTGCGCAGTCTCACGGCCGCCGCCTCTGCCCCGGCCAAGTCTTCCCGGCACCCGGCACAGAGCCCCTGCTCCTTCAGTCTGAGGTGGGACAGGCATGCACCTGCCTTCCCGTGGGCTCTTCTGGCTCGTGTGCAGCCTGGGGGAGCCTGGCCCCCTCGGGGTCTCCCTTCCCTCACTTGGAGGCGAGGGGGGCGGAGGGCAACACCTCCGTGCTCTCATGTGGCCTCCAACTCTGGAGACGTTGTGGGGAGCTCAGCGCGTCCAGCCCCTCCTGTCGCCTCCTGCCCTCAGCTGTCCTCTGAGGAGACACACCGGCCTTTGTGCTCACGCTCTTCTCCAGGGCCAGAAGCCTTTCAAAGCCAATCCGATAGGATATCGACAACTGGGCACAAAGGCCGACCATTGGCCCTAATTTAATTCCCGACTTCTCAAGAAGGGGCCTGTTGTGCAGACGGCAGAGTCTGATCCGCAAAGTAGGGGGGAGGCGGCCTGGTTGAGGAGAGAGCCGAGATTCACGGGGTGCCGCACTGAGGCGTGACCACGGGGCTGGTGCACTTGTTTTCTTCAGCGCCCTCGGCGAAGCGCGGGCGGAGACGGAGGAGCGGAGCCCGGCCTGGGGCCGCCGGCTGTAGCGGGGGCCGACCCGCGGGTGCGCACTGCCCTCCAGCGGCGGGAGGAGGACCCGTGTCTGCAGCGAGGAACGTGAGGAGTCGGCTCGACACAGATGCTGGGGGGAGTTCTTTAGGATGGTGTGTGTGCGTGCGTGTGCGCGTGTGTGTGTGCGTGCGTGTGCATGCGTGTGTGTGTGCACGCGTGCATGCGTGTGTGTCTGGGGGAGGGGAGAGGAAGGGGGAGCAGTTAGAGGCAGAGGGGGAGAGATGCTGCAGAACAAAGGGCAGGCAGGCAGGCAGGGAAAGAAGGAGGGGCTCTGGCCCCCAGACCCAGGGGCTCCATGCCCTTCAGAAAACCCTCCTCCTCCGCCGGAGCGCGTCCCTAGGGCGGTGGTGGCCGTCTAGAGCGGACAAACAAAAGGCCAGTCAGGGGAAGGATTGGTGGTTCTGAGTGTCAGAGGAAGAGAAGCCCTAGGAAGGGGAAGGGATTAATCTCTGGTGTCAGCGTCCCTGCACAAAGCTCGGCCCAGGCCGGGGCCAGGGAAGAAGACACGGGGGTGTTTCTGCGGGGCGGGCTTGGGCCCCTGACAGGGGTCGTGAGACTGTCCATCGTTCTTCTCCCCAGGGCAGCATTGTGTCCTGTTCTGCCTCACTCAGACTTGAGCAGGCTCTTGCTGTCTGCCTATGCCAGCCGGCTACCCCTGGGGACTATTTGGACAGTGTGCCCACCTTACTTCCAGAAAATCTGAGCCTGGCTAACTTAAGCAGAAAGGGGATTCGTTGAAAGGTATTTGGGAGTTCATGGGAATTTTGGAAAGACTGGAGAGCCATCAGGGGCCATGTGGAAGGGAACAGAACCCATAAATCATGCTGCACATGGGCCCGCTGGGTCCCTCTGCTCCTGGCAGCTGCTACGGCTCTTACCATACAAGTTGGCTGTAGTCATTGTGTTGGTTCCTCACTGGCTCACCTCCAGAGTCTGGAAGGGCTGCTCTGTTTGGGTATGTAGTGCTCTGGGGCCATTTTGTGCATCTGCACAGGGTGTGCACTGCACAAATCCAGAAGCACCATTTCACAGAACTACCACACATGGCGGTGGTGTGTGTCTGTGCCCGAGCTATGAAGGAGGCTGGGAAAGCACACAGTTGTCAGTGTCTCTGGTGGGAGGAATACGGCTTTCCAAGGATGAGCATATACCAAACATACTGTATCAGTTAGTTTTTGCTGTGTACCCATTAACCGCGATTCTAGGGGTCAGCAATTTGGGCTGGGACCAGCTGCGTGGTTCTTCTGGTCACGGCTGGGCTCACGTGTCTCCCGGCACCTGCCGGAGCGGCTGGGGTGGCTGGCCTGGGGCGCCTCGGCTGGCAGGCTGTGATTCTCATCTTCAAGTGACTAGCCCGAGTGTGTTCACAAGGTGGCAGTTCCAAAAAGGAAGAGTGGGCACACACGGGCTCCTGAGGCCTACGCATTGAGCAGGGACAACATGGCTCTGTCCCCTCCTATGGTTAAGTAAGTGCTAAGGTGAGTCCAGCTTCAAGGGCCACGCGTGGTGTGAGAAGCAAAGGGATGCGGAGGGTTGTGGCCACGTTTGCAATCTGCCACCCACGGAAAAAGGGCAGATGTGGCCAAAAATGAGTACAGAGGTCCATCCTGACAGGAGGGTGGGAGCAGGAAGGACACTGCAGGTGGCCAGCACGGGGTTTGGCAGGTGTAAACAGGAGGGAGGAGCCCCCGAGGGGACCAGCAAGCTGCAGGCTGCATCCGTTCCTTTATCTCTGTCCCTGAAGGTGCAGCAGGCCCTGTGAGCGGGGGTGGGGCTCACCGCTCAAAAATCTCATCAAGGCCTGGGAGGAGGTTGGGGCACAAGGTGGGTCGCGAAGGCAGAAGTTTCTAGCATTGCCCCGGGGCTCACATACCACAGGCTGCTCCTGGCGATGCTGTCCTGGCAACCCCGGCAGGCCCTGCTGTGGGTGCTGAGCCCAGCCCCGGTGACCCCGAGGGCCAGCCCACCTGCTTTCATCCACTGACACCGACTGCACGGAGGCAGCACCCCGAAGCGGGGCGAGCCCGCGTCTCCAGTCTCGCTGCCTCTGGGCCACCCTCATCCCCAACCTTTCTCGCCCTCATCATTCCCCATCAGGCTCCCTCGCGGGGATCAGCCATCCACTGCTGTGTAACAAACGACCCTACAGTTCAGCAGCCCAGATGTTCTCCCGCATAGCTTCTGTGGCTCAGGAACGTGGGAGCAGCTGAGCTAGCTGGGGGGTTCTGGCCCTGGGCTCTTCTGGGGCTGCAGTCAAGGTGCCCGCGGTGGGCTCTCAACTCCAGCCTCCGGGTAAAGGGTCTGCTGTCGCCCCTCCCACGGCCCTGACAGGCTCCTCTCTGGCTTGAGGCTCGGGGATCATCACTCCGCTTGCTCTCGTTTTCCTCCTCCGTCCACAGAGCTGCCTAGAAGCACGTGCACAATGGTGGAAGGGCTCTGTGTCCATGCCGCCGCATGTGGCATTGAGCACATGAAATTTAATGAGACAGAGGATGTAAATTTTAAATTTCATTTAACTTTTATTAAATTAATTTAAATTTTATTTTCATTTATTATTATTTTTTTATTTATTTGAGAGAGAAAGAGAGAGAGAGTACAAGAGAGAGCACAAGCAGGGGGATCGGCAGAGGGAGAGAGAGAGAAGCAGATTCCTTGCCGAGCAGGGAGTCTGACATGGGACTCGAACCCAAGACTTTGAGATCATGACCTGAGCTGAAGGCAGACACTTTACTGACTGGGCCACTCAGGCATCCCTTAACTTAAACTTTAGATATGATTTTAAGTAGCTAGTGGCTGGACTCTGGCTTGCAGAACCTTGTTCTCCAGGTGTGGTCCCGGACCTGCCGCCCAGCATCACCTCGCTGTGTG